ACGAGATATTTTTTCACTTACAATGATACTGCAATATGATGGCGCTCTACAAAACAAATATTGGTTGCCACTTCCTCCAACACTCCGAGATTCTTGCGCTTCATGAAGCCAACCAAGAATGCATATGGTTAAGATCTATTATTCATCATATTAAAAGTACATGCAAATTTTCATGTGCCACAGATGCTCCCACAATTATAAATGAAGATAATGCAGCATGTATTACTCAAGTTAGGGGAGGATATATCAAAGAAGATAGAACCAAACATTTTTCAAAGAAGTTCTTTTACACTCACGAACTCCGGCAAAATTGAGAGATTGATGTCAAACAAATACGCTCCAATGATAATCTTGTAGATTTATTCACTAAGGCCTTATCGACATCAACATTTGAAAAGTTAGTGTATAACATTGCTATGTGATGACTCAATAAGTTATTAAATTAATTCTACATTATGAGGGGGAGCATTGATCAAGATGAGCATCGATTAGGGAGAGTTTTTAAAAAAGTTTACTGTACTGTTTATTGTACTGGACATATGTGCACTGTACTCTTTTTTCCTTGATCAGGTTTTGTTTCATTGGTATGAAGCATGTCCAACTTCACGTTACAATTTCATTGTAGAGTTGTATTTCTTTACTTAGGTTTTTTTCCTACTAGGTTTTTTTTTTTCAATAATGTTAAATACAATTATTTGTAAGCGATAGATGTCCAAGGGGAAGTGTTGTAAAATATGTGGCCATCCACCGCCTTAACTTTGAGGTGGTAAATGGGGAACGGGTGATGGCTATAAATAACCCCACCCCACCCACCCGCACCATGTTTGTTACACAACCAATTGAGAAGAAAGAAGAAATATTACAACCCCCCTTAAACTTTACTTTCTTAAAATTTAGTCATTCTTACTCTATTACAGTTACACCACTAAAGTTACATCAAAAACAAGATTTTTCATAAAATTGAAGAAACAAATTTGATCGAATTGCAGAGATATTCTTTTTTCTTGAAAACTTCATATTTTAAGAAAGATTTATGATGAATTTTATCTTAAAAATTAACCTAAATTCTAAATTACTTTTTATGAATAATTATTTAATCAAATTTATAATTTAAAACAAACAATTTTAAAAGTTGAAAAATTAAAAAATGGTTATCAGAGTCACTGACCAATTGTCGCCAAACTCTTATGTCCAAATGTTGCAACTAACGGTGTTGTCAAACATGACTAGCGCAACAACCCATCGTCATGACCCTCACTTAAATCCAAATGCTACAACTACTAGTGTTGTATGACTAACGCAACAATCTACGATAAGCGAACCTAAGACCGTAGGTCTATCACATTACCCTTAATTTCCCTTAACCATCTAGGCTACTCAAGATTGGTCAAACATGTTATCGATGATAATTATTGCCGTCAACAATCTCAATACTTGTGACGACATTGCTAGGTCTGCAGTAAAGGCAACCACCACCATTGGTAGACTAATTAGTAACTCCATTGGTGAGTTTTCAATTCTTTTTAATTTAAAATTTAAAGATTTTTTTTATTAATATATTTTAATAATTTAAAAAAACTTATTTATGAAAAAAAAATATAATTTGATCACGTATCATATCTACTCTTCTAAAAGTAGACATTTAAAAATCAATTTTGAAATCATATTTATGATACCTTTGGACCATTTTCTACTCTTTGTTTCTTTGTTTGAATGGTCAAAGATATTATAACTCATTCATGGACGACCATACAAAATTTATGTATCCTTATCTTTTATTTGATAAGGTTTAGGAAATATATATTTTGAATACCTATAAAGTAGATGAAAGAAACAAAAGGAAAAAAAAAAAAAAAAAAAAGATAAGATTAGTATCGGGGAGGAGAATTCTATAGAAGGTACATAAAAAAAGAACAAGTACTAGATCCATTTGTAAAGTTCTTTGAGCAGGAAGGAATTATTGCTCAAAATTTAATGTTAGGACCAATGGAAGTAAAAATTTACAATTCTCATATAGAANTCCACCTGCAAATACCTTTCTCATCTTCTTCACTGCATCATGTATTTGACCGTTTGACTTTTTGCAGCTTTTTTTTTCTCTTTCTCATTTTTTTTCATTTTCTCATCTTTTTCACTGCATCAGTGCTTCACCACTTTTCCAAACTTCTTCTTCTTCCACCCAACTTCTTCTCCACCTGCAAATACCAAACGTAACACATCCAACTTCTGCTCCACCCGTAAATACCAAACAAAGCACATCCAACTTCTTCTCCACCTGCACCACCCAAACAATATTCACCATGAACCACCCACAGCAGCAGATCTATCCCACACTAATATTCACCACCACCAGATCTGTCCCACACTAAAAGCCACCGTGAACCACCCACCACCAAGATCTGTCCCACACTAATATCCACTGTGAACCACCAAGATAAGTTATATATATAATAATATATTATTTTAATAAAACTAAACAAAATATTATATTAATAAATCATTTATAAAAAAAATGTATTAATCAAATATTCAGCACAAATATCAAGGTCAAAATACTCTACCAAACACATATTATGTAAATCCTATTCTCATAATCATAACCCTATCCAACTATCCAATACTATCCTCAAAATTCCTATCCAAAATAATGAACCAAACGCACCCAAGAGTTTTCATAAAATTGAAGAAACAAATTTGATCGAATTGCAGAGAGATTCTTTTTCTTGAAAACTTCATATTTTAAGAAAGATTTATGATGAATTTTATATTAATATCTTAAAAATTAACCTAAATTCTAAAATTACCTTTTATGAATAATTATTTAATCAAATTTATAATTTAAAACAAACAATTTTAAAAGTTGAAAAATTAAAAACTGGTTATCAGAGTCACTGACCAATTGTCGCCAAACTCTTATGTCCAAATGTTGCAACTAACGGTGTTGTCAAACATGACTAGCGCAACAACCCATCGTCATGACCCTCACTTAAATCCAAATGCTACAACTACTAGTGTTGTATGACTAACGCAACAATCTACGATAAGCGAACCTAAGACCGTAGGTCTATCACATTACCCTTAATTTCCCTTAACCATCTAGGCTACTCAAGATTGGTCAAACATGTTATCGATGATAATTATTGCCGTCAACAATCTCAATACTTGTGACGACATTGCTAGGTCTGCAGTAACAGCAACCACCACCATTGGTAGACTAACTAGTGACTCCATTGGTGAGTTTTCAATTCTTTTTAATTTAAAATTTAAAGATTTTTTTTATTAATATATTTTAATAATTTAAAAAAACTTATTTATGAAAAAAAAATATAATTTGATCACGTATCATATCTACTCTTCTAAAAGTAGACATTTAAAAATCAAATTTGAAATCATATTTATGATACCTTTGGACCATTTTCTACTCTTTGTTTCTTTGTTTGAATGGTCAAAGATATTATAACTCATTCATTGACAACCATACAAAATTTATGTATCCTTATCTTTTATTTGATAAGGTTTAGGAAATATATATTTTGAATACCTATAAAGTAGATGAAAGAAACAAAAGGAAAAAAAAAAAAAAAAAAAAGATAAGATTAGTATCGGGGAGGAGAATTCTATAGAAGGTACATAAAAAAAGAACAAGTACTAGATCCATTTGTAAAGTTCTTTGAGCAGGAAGGAATTATTGCTCAAAATTTAATGTTAGGACCAAAGGAAGTAAAAATTTACAATTCTCATATAGAAAATTTAGACCCTAGAATAACCAATTTGCTTTTTCATTGGTTATAAAGTGAATTCGAAAGGATTAATTTTTTTTTTTTTTTTTAAAGAGACTCGGAGCCTAGAAGGAGTGCTTATCCTTGAAAGATAGAAATTGAGAAAACATGAAATGAAATTGAGTTGCCAATAAATGATGGTCTTTTGTTTGTTTTTTAACGAAACTAATTACATATTGTTAAAGAACAACCATTCAATTACATATTTCCGAGAAACAGATTTAACATTGAATCTAAGGATGATCCATGTTCATTATGGGAAGCTATAAATTGAGAAAATTTCATATTTTGGTATAATGCCATGAATGAAGAGATGAGATCTACTATTATAAACCAAGTTTGGGATTTTGTTGAATTACTAGAGGAGTTCTTATAAGACCAAAGAGATTTCTATGAAAATATAGAAAGATAAAAAACTAGACTTGTAGCTAAGAGTTTTATTCAAAAGAAGAGTATTAATTACGTTGAGTGGTTTGATAGAGACTCTTGAGTATATTATTCAAAATGTTTTGAGTTCAAGACCATCCTAGGTTGCTAATAAGGGTAACATTAGAACTCTTACTCGGTCGGTAGTTCTAGGGTTCTAGAGAATTAATTGAAGTGTGTGTAAGTTAGTTTAGACACCCTCGGTCATTAAAAAAAAAAAAAAAACATAAAAAAATTAATTACCATAAATACTTTTCTTTAGTTTCTATGAAAGACTCATTATGATCTAAGTTTACATCAAATAATGCATTTATGATTAAATAGTGAGAAAACAGTTCATCAAACATTGCTGTATTTATGATTAAATAACGTTTCTAAAGTAATACAAACTTAAAAGAAAACAACTTAAACACAATCATAAAAATAATTACATAAAAATGAATTATTCTTTTATAATATTAAAGGGCATAGTCTTTTTCAGATTTTGTGAAACCATATTTTTTTTTTTAAAGATATTAAAAATATGAAAAATAAAAAACATATTTCATGTATTTATCTGAAAATAATATCTTTTAATTTATCCGAAAATAATATTTCTAAAATACGAAAAATAAAAACGACACGGTTTTAGAGATTTACAAGAGTACTCTTTCCCGCTATTGGTAACCAAAGAGAAGAGGTTTAAAAAAAAAAATATCTAAAGATTAAAAATAATAAAAAAAGATAGCGGTCGAATGAAAGAGCGACAATTGGCAGTTGCAGAAATGCCAATATCTTTAAGAAAAAAAAAAACAGTACAGTCGTGGACGCGACGTGACACAGTAGTTTCTATCAAATTTCCAATCAATCCAATTCCAAACAAAACGAGAATCTGATTCTCAGAGATTTTCCGTCTCCATTTCAGAATCGAATCAAACTAGGAAGTCATACCCAACCCTTCCCAGCGCTACTCTTAATCCACGCTCATTCGTTTTCATTTCTTCTTCATTCTCTTCGCATTTCGTTTCACATCATTTCGTGTACGGATCTCTCACTCTCTTCTGTGATCTTGTGATTGTTGATAGATCTGATTTGGTGTTTGATTGAATCGATCGGCTAACGGTTTAGTTTGTTTTGTGATTGATTGGTTTTGTAGTGAAATTAGGAAGAAATGGAGGGAACAGTGTTTACTCCATCATTGGAAGCAATGAAGCATGTCAAATCTGAACAAGGGGAAATGCTCACCAAGCCTTTCTTGGATGTTTGCAAATTGATTTTGCCCGTTATAGGTTCTTATTCATTTTTTATTTTAGTCATTTATTCATCGATCTCACCCTGCTTTATTTTTGAGCATTTTTATAAGTTGAACTGATCAGAATATTGAAGCTTGAAGCTTTAACATCGTCAATTATTGTCTTAGTAAATGCTAAACAGAGTTTTATTATTATTATTTATACACATTGGATCTGCATTTTTCCTTGCCATTTGATAGCTGCTACAAGTTCATGGTTTGCATCAGCGTGGCAATTTGATTTTCTCTTTGTACTGATTCATGTGAAGGATGGGTTTTTGTTTCTTTTACCAATTCAACAATGTAATTTGCTTCGTGTGAGATGGATAGTAGATATTAATTTTTTGGTTTTGAAAAAGAAATAAATAAATGGAAGTGTTCTGTTTTTTCTGGTTGCAGATAAATTTGGAGCTGCCCTTGCCCTTGTAAAGTCTGATATTGGTGGTAATATAACGGTAAGATGTTTCTTTCATGCGTTTTTCTCTGGATTGATATTAATTTATATTTCTTCTAGGTGTGTTTTTATGCTCTTCAATATGTTTGTACTTTGTAAAAGACCATGAAAGAACTTGTATGGTTGATTTTTTATAGCTACTATGATTGAAAATTTCGGATGTGTGGCCTTGCATGTGTATTGTCAAATGAAAAAAATCGTGGCGGGTAGTTTTGTGAAAAATTTGCCTGCAAATAAAGTATAATCTCATATATTGTAGTTGATTTATGTAATATTGAACTGATGTTTGTTTTGCTTGTAGAGGTTGGAAAATAAATATTTATCCAATCCCACTGAATTTGAGAAGTTATACAGCTTGGTACAAGTAGAAATTTCAGCGAAAACTTCCAAAGGATCATCTAGTTGTACCAATGGTCTTCTCTGGTTGACGAGGTACATATTATATCCTGCAGACAATTCCTTTTTCTGTACCATTTGTTATTTCATTGATAATTTACTTCTTTTCCTTGTTTTTAGTTTATAACTAAGGGAATATTTTCAATAATAGGTGATTGTTTATAATATTGAAATATGTCATTGTTACTGAGTGTGGATCAAGCAATTTAAAGGAAAGAACAGAAACTCTTTTCTTTTGTCTTCTTTCATATGTTCTTCAGTTCCTTCAATTGAAGTATGTAGGAGAAAGTACTTTAAGATGAAAATCTCACCCTGGCCTGGTGTTCAGACCATGGTTTTAGATTGTTAAAAATATATGTAATATGAAGTGGAAGATGAAGAATGGGATTAGAATTTGCTAACATGCTGCTCTTGCTCTCACTTTTTTATGTCAGGGACTCTTAGTTTTACTTTAGGATGGTATTGATAGAATTATGAGACTCCAAAACACTTAACTGCTAACATGTTGTACTGTCAGAGCTCCTTGAGCAGATTAGCAGAAGAGATATCTGAGTTGAATTTGATGGTCTGTAATCAATTATATTTTTTATTCATAGTTACTTTTTTCTGATAATTCTTTAGAGCAATGGATTTCCTGGTGGAATTGTTTCGCAACTTACTTGCACATCCAGATTGGACAATGTCACAAGCTTGTACAGACTCCTATACTAAGACCCTGAAGAAATGGCATGGCTGGCTTGCAAGTGCAAGTTTCACGGTACTGCTCTATATCTTGTACATAGTGGGTATTATTATGTGCACTATGTTGCTTCATAGGCCTAAGTTAGATTGTTAAAGTCAAATTCTAATATTTCTGGTAATTTTGTGCTTATAGTCGCTGAGTAGTAAACTACTAAAACTCACTCTGTACTATCTATATGGAGTTTTACCCTTTGTTTTCTTTGAACTGAAGGCATGTAAGAGTCAGTGGAAGATTTAGTATGATGATGCTTCACTTATGGAAGACAATTTGTTTTGTAATCTTTTTTGTCTTTTTAACAATGAAAGAAATTCTTTAACTTTTAGATTGAGTCATTTTGTTCTGTATGTAAGAACCATGAGAGTGCAGAATTTAAATAGTGATGGCAAATAGTTCTTTAATTCTATCTTATACTGTTAAAGGTTGTATATTTTAAGTTAACAGATGCAAATAGCTCTTGCTCTATTGTGGGACCTTTTCTTGTTATTGTACACTATTTCAAGAACTTTTGACTTGATACTGTACTACTACAGGTTGCTATGAAGCTTGCACCAGATAGGAAGAAGTTCATGGATGTGATAGGTGGCTCTGGTGATATAAATGCTGACATGGAGAAATTTTGTGCTAACTTTTCTCCATTTCTTGAAGAGAACCACAAGTTTCTGGTAAGATTTTTCCAGGATCTTAATGACTTTGCACTGTTCTGCGAAATGTTAAACTTTTGAGAATGCAATAATTTGACTTATATTTAACAGAAAATAAGGTGAATAAAGTAAACTTAGGGTTCAGGATGGATATTGTTCCCTATCATGCAGTTTTATCTTCCTGATTGTGGTTGGGGAAACCTTGTCATCGCCATTCAACTGAACAATGTGTTTTGTGGCCTATGAAATGTCCTTGCCCTTGAAAATCTCACTATTGTGAAGGTTATGAAACAGTAAATTCACATCTTGAGAATAAGTTTAAACTTTAAAGAAGCCGGAACATCTTCTCTTGGGCTGTAAGAACCTTCAAAGACGGGCTGAAATAATGGCATTTCTATGGAAGGAAATTGTTTTACTTTACTAATATGATTTCAGCATGGCTTTGTAACTAGTGGGCTGATGAAATATTTTTTGCTGATACAGGCCAGTGTTGGCATGGATGATCTGAAAGCTTCATGATTGGAAGAATTCTCTGCTTCGCAGCTGTTGTTTACATGTACTGTATTATTATTATTATTATTTTCTTTCGCTTTCTAAACATCCTGACATGACAAATAATCAATGACTTGGATCTATACTGGCCTTCTAGGAGCCGCTTTGGCTTCAACTTTTACATGTACTTGCTGCTATATAAAGTTCTAGTTAATACATGTTTGATTTCAGACTGGCAATGAGTTTTTCGATTTTGGGTTAGTAATCTTGATGGTAATTTTCTTGCTCTAAGCTTGGCATTTGACCCCTTGAACTGACTGATTTCTTTTTGGATTTGGAGGGCTTTTTAGTTTTAAAAGGCTTTTCAAAACGAGTTTACTGCAGTTTTATGTATATCATAACCATGAATTAGGCCATGCTTTTAATCGTCGAAGCTCATAAAATTACATCACTGAAAAAAAAAAAAAAAAACTGGAATATATATTTCACTTGGTAATTTGCAAAATCCAATTTGTGGGGATTTCAACATTGTTTTAAAACCCGAACGGTAGAGCAACCCCTTTTGTTGCTTGGGTCACATGTCAACCGGTCCAACCGGTTGGACCGATGACGTCAGTCATAATTTTATTTTTTAAAAATTATTATTAATCCCTCAAATTTTGATATATTATAAAAATTTCCCTATAAAAGTTCAAATTAATCCCTAAAATTTTTTATTTCAAAAATGTCCCAAAAAAATTACCAATTAATCCCTAAACTGTTGTCATATCTCTAAAACACCCTATAAAAATATAAATTAACCCTTATAGTTTTGAAATATTACAAAAACCCCTAAGACCTGAACCGGATTGGAGAAGCTGCTGGGTCTCGATCTGATCGATCCGGTTCGGTTTTTAAAACAAAGAATTTCAGTCCTCTACTTTTTTTTTTTGGTAATTGGGGTGTTTAGGTCAGCTTGTATGCATCTTAATCAATCCTCGAGGTTTATTGAATATTTTACAAATCTAAAGGATCAAGTAAACCATAATATTATTGTGGTAGGTGGTTCTAACATTTACACCCAAGAATTCAAGGAAGGGAGCAAACCTTTTTTACCGCGAGACCAATCCTTTGAGGTCTTTTAAGTCCTCTACTTGGTTGGACATCACTTTTTTGTGTAAAAGTTAATGTCAAAAAGTTACAGAAGAAAAAGAAATCGTATAGGGCAAGAACAATCATAGATGTTGCATGGAACTTATAATTAGTAAACGTTTATCAGAATTTTATAATCTAAATTACTATGTTGCATATAAGGATTATATAAAATAAACCAATAATTTTATAAAACGAAGTCTACGGCTATCATAGGTGATAGATTAAATCCCTTTATAGGTTGGATAATTCAATCTTATAATATTTACTTTACCTATGACACCTAAATATTACCCAACTGCCATGACTTCACAACCGTTTATCCCGCACTTACATTAAAACTAACACAAATATAGCTCATGCTGTTACGATTTTTTTAGTTTTGTGTGTCTGGATTTTGACCCAATTTTTGTTTCTTCTTCTGGTTTCCATTCACGGGCAACCGGAACAGACACCGCGTTTGATTCCCCCTCTTGCTAATCCACTCAATCTCAATCTTTTCTACACTAAAACCATTTTTCTCTTTGTGGGATAAATTTTAGAGCATGGTAACAAGAACCAAGAATATGACATTCACATCATGCTTCTGCAATTGACCTTCCTGGGTGATTTTGGAAAATTCATTGTGAGTTGTTCGGTAACATCATGCCATCTTCTTGATTTTTGCTCTAAAGATGCGTTATGTGAAATGTGTTTCTTTTCTTTGTTTCCTGTTTATTTAGAGAAAGGACAAAAGTTTGCCCGTATAGAGAAGCTTTATGTAATTTTCTTCATGGAAATTATGGACATATAAGCCTAAAAAGTCTTTGACAGAAATAATATAATTAACATGATGCTAGTTGTAAAGGCATTATGATACGGAGCAAAAAAACCATTTTTCTCTTCATACTCATGTTCTCTCTTTCTCTTCTTTTGTTTACCAGCTTCCAGAATTTATTGAATCTTGACGTTGGTGATAGCACTAGATCAAGCACCAGTAACTTGTGGAGGAACCATTCTGATGTTTTGTAAACACAATGAGTGCAACGATCAAGGGCCTCTTGAAAGGATTAAGATTCATAGCGCAACTATTTGGTATCGTTCAGTTTTAACTTACGTTGAAATTTTCACATAACGTTACTATAATCATCAATTATTTCTTGTAACAATTTTGTAGAGCCAAAAGAACCAGAAATGCAAATTGGTCTTCCCACAGATGTAAAGCATGTCTCTCACATCGGATGGGATGGTTCATCTGCCAATCCGCCCAGCTGGGTATGCCCACTCTTCTTTATTAGTTACCTGAGTTATTCACATACCATGCAATAATTACCAGAATTCTGAAATTTGTGCAGATGAATGGGTTTAAATCTGTGGAGGAAATTGCAAAAGAGCCTTCGAATTCCATTGTTGAATCAAAGAAACCTGAAAAAAAATTGACCCCGGAAGGTTGGTTTGAGATTAGAGAATAATAATATCATTTTCTTTAACTCGGTTATTGTAATCTTCCTTATGCAAGTTAAATTGCTGCAGGAATTCAAGATTCAAAGAATGAGAAGCCAAAGCAAAAGTCGAGAAGGAAATCATCTACTGGTGCCCCTGGCTCACCCTTAAGTTCCCCAAAGCCGGGAACGGATGGAACAAAGCAATCTACGACTATTGAATCCGCATTTGATTCCCCAAGAGGGAGCCAGAGGTCAAATCTTAGCCTTGATTCATCCTCTCAGGATCCTGCTGGCATTCCAAAACTATTTCGCCGAAAAAAACCAAAGCAGCCAACTGGAAGTGAGTCAGGACAGAAAATGAAGAACAAACAAAGACAACAAATGGGTTCAGGTTTGGAAGCAAATGAAGAAGAGAAAGGATGAAATAGAAGTTCAGGAGGAATCTAGAGATCTGTAAATTATAAGTTTTAACATAAATACATAATCCTCTGTATGAAAAAAAGTGTAATTGTTTTTAACTTCATTGTCCATTACAATATTGACTTCCGCTTGCCATTCTGGCTGGCCTTTGCTTAGACCAATAATGAAATTGGTACTTATTAGTAGAAGTGTAGTAACTATGCAGTGAAAAGAATCTTGGTTTTGTATCGAAATGTTAAAACAAAATGACCATTAAATTTAACTATTAGTACATATACATATTGTCATTCATTTCTTTCATTGAAGGATCCAATACTCCGGCTGAGGGAATCATTCCCTGTTGAGGAATGAACCACACACTGATATCAGAGTTTTCAATATGTTTTCTGTTCAACATGAACGCAAAGAGTATATACCAAGTAGCTAGATGCCATATCGTATAGATGATTACATAATGAAATCTCTACCTTAAAAGCACAAAGCAGAAGTAAGTTTTGACTTTTGAACCTCAAAGCCTGTTCGAGAAGCTTAACACTGATGACAATCATAAGAGCCTACATTATTATTTCGAGGAAACTTTCAACAATTAAATAATAAAAATATATGGGACATGTTTGAGGTCTCAGTCTCATCTTCAAACTCAAAGGAGGCACAATGTAGATCCTAGTTATATTTGAATCTATAAGATCACGAGTTTAAAGATCTACACATGAATATTAAAATTTATCTGTCCTAAGATTTATCTTCCTTTTTATTCTTTTCTATAATCACCAATCATCATATTAGATTTTTGTCATACAAGAATCATCGTTTAGCTCTTCAGCTGAAACGTTTTAATCCAATCTTACTAACAGTGTCTCTGATATGATGGCTAAACATATTTTGGTGGAAGTATTTCGTCTACATGGACCTCCTATCATCAAATTCAATGATAGCATCTTGTGCCGCTGGCTCTGCATTCAGAAAAGGACAAATATAGCCACCTCTACTGTTATACTCTGTAATTTGAAAAATATCAAACCAATGTCCCCGATTCCCTGTTTCTAATAATTTCCAAGAGAAATTGAAACAAATCAGGACAACATAGAGACTATAATGGAGGGAAATTCAGACCATTTTTGCCCTTAAAAAAATAGTACACAAATAAGATTGAGAAACTGGTTTCTAAAAGAGAAGAATAAAGAATTATCAGAGAAAGTAAAGCTCAAGAATTGGCTTAACTTAAGAATGTTGATTTACTTAAGAAAGTTTTGTATTTTATTTGACCTTCAAATTGGTATCCACTCAAGTCAATAACGCAAGCCAAAATATTAAATCCAAGATAGGTAAATAGTATGCACAGTTTACATTTACTCGCTCTATGTTGAGGCATCAAAACATAGAAACATCCAAAAGAAAGAAGGTAAAAGAAAATGGACCTAAAATACCTTTCCCTTCAAGTATCTTATGTGTTTCACATCCAAAATAGTCAGCAACAATGTATAGTTACTAAAGTGGTTTAATGCCAGTTAAATACAAAAGTCACTTCTGAGTTTAAATCAATACCATAGTCAGCTAGTGTACGAGCATCTTCTAATGGCACTTGCTGGTATAATACTTCAATTACCGGAGCTTCGTATTGAACTTGAGCCATTCTCTTCACATAAGAAATGGTGGCAGATTCTGATAAAACAGGATTTATTGAAGTTAATTTCACATTCAATATACTAGATGAGGGAGCATAAAGCATGTGGAGAGTGTAGTGCTTTTGTATATTGTAGCTCGCAAGATCCCGGTCTTCCACAAGCCGTTTTCCAGCGTATACAATAATAATTTTAAGATGATGTGGAATCTGCAGTTTGTTACAAAGCTTGCACATCACATCTTTGATTGTTTCACATAGCTGCACATCAAGTGTGATCGTTTTCCCGCTCCAACTTTTAACAAATATCTGAAATGAAGGAAAAAACATCTCCAAGATGGATTGGTCTTTGATGCCATAACAAGCTAAGGTCTTTTGATCCTCAAGCTTCCTTCCAGCATACATCATAACCTGATTGCTGGTTGGAACACCTATCATACTTCCAAGTATTGCTTTTACATCACCAACTGTGAACAATGATTCAACTTTGAGGTTCACAACATCTCCAGAAGTTGTTTTCACAGCAATTGAGAGCACATGTTTCTTGCGCAAGGCCAAATGAAGAGTCGATTCGTTCTTCATATGGAGAGAGGATAGAGTCATATCCTCTTCAAGTAAATTTCCATCATAGACAAGGGCGAAGTCATCTGATTGAATCTGCTCCTCCATCTGAATCAATGATTTGATGGTTTTTACAGTGTAATGAGCCATTGCTTCCACCTCTATAGTTTTCTGTTTTGATGGTATTTCAACATATAACTTCATTCCTTTAAGATTCAGGAGAATAAGATGAAGAGTGGAGTCCTTCTGAATACCATGATCAATAAGCCTTTGGCCATCCTCGAGCCGATTGCCAGCAAAGAAGATGCCCTGAATATATTCAGAAATTCCTTCCTTCTCACGTATGAGAGCTTTGAGGTTTTTAATTGTATCTGATTTCTTAACTTTTAAGGCCACAGTCTTCATGACCTTCAAATACACATTTACCTGGGAAAAAAATGGAAAAAAAAAAAAATTACTATAAAAAGATCATTAAATAGGCATCACTAAAAAGGAAAGAGCATTCCAGAATTCAGTATTGTTATGTGCATCCAGAGATAAACATTAGATGATCGATGGCAAACAGAAGAGAATAAGTTTCAAAATATTCACATAAGGTCTAAAACAAATTTTCTTGACTTCCGTCCACACCACGTACTTGTTAACGTACTTGTTTATTTACAAAAACTTCAAAAATAGAATACCCGGAAAAGGAAACGAGCCAGGACGCCCAGCTACCGTGATTGAAGCTACCGTGATTGAAGGAATGAAGGATGTAACAAAGCAAGCATGACTGGATTTCATTTGACCAAATTCATAACATTCTCATTTCAACTCTGTACAGCAGTTAAGACGCGGATGCAAAAAATAAAGCATGCATCCGTTCTGAAAAATCCAATAGGTCAATCAATTACAACACTACAAAAAGAAACTCCACTTGAACTAATTATCATGTATTTGAAGATCATGTAACTGGTAAGTAAACAGAAAACTTCACTAGAAACAATAACACACACACAGAGTCAAAAGCACCACCAAGTACAAAGCTTCACTAGAAACAAAGTTTCCACCACTAAAACATAACATTCTATGTTTTAACTTCATCCTAAAAACAGGGTATTTTACTATTGACATCATGAAATGAATCCTAGAGTCACATTTTTTAATTTTTTCAAACCGTTTAAACACAGGATTCCGTGAAAAAGAAAAAAAAAATTTGGGTACTGCGCAAAATCTTAGAAACTAAAAATTAACAAGACGATGAAAGCATGAACCTCTTCGTCTGAAGAATCCGCTGGGGTTCTCTGAGAACTGGATGATGCCATGTATATTTGAGATAGCAGCAAAAAATTCTAAATTGAATGATTCCTTTTGTTTTGTTTGAAGGAGAGAATAAATTAATAGTAATGAATATGGCGAGAGTGAAGAGTCTGAGAGAAGAGAAAGAGGGGGGCAATTATTAATTTTTTATGACTGATGAGGTTTCTTTAATTTTTTTCAGAGCGAACGGCTTTTTCCCACCCAAGGTTTGGTCTAATAACACTTGCCCACCCAAAAAGCTTGAAAAGGACATTTTACTACCCAACGTTATGTTCTGTTACTAATCTTCGTTAAATTCAGTTACATATTTGTTGTAAAGACAAAATACCCTTTACTATTTAAGTTTGAATGTTTTATTAAAATTAAATTACAGATTTGTCCCTAATTTTTTTCTCTTCTTTTTCTTTTTTCTTTTGACTTCTTCTCTCTCTTTTCTTCTGTCTTTTTATTTCCTTCTCTTCTTCTCCTTCCTCTCTCAATGGCACCAAGGAAAAAATAACAAATCCAAAAATAATAATAAATAGATTTATATATTATGCAAATTAGTCATATTTGATACAACAAAATAAACACAGACTTCATAATCATATACTCAGAAAAAAACCACAAAATAATAAACTCAAGTTGAAGCCAGAGCACCAACTGAAATCTACAGCACCAAACCCCTACAGAACAACAACCTTCCAATAGCAAAATTTCACGATTTCTTCCAAACAAAGAAGATTTTCCATATACCCAAGATTTAACGAAATTATCACCTCCCCATTTATTCCACACAAATTCATCCTCCATCTCATTTGCATAGTCATAAAATCGAAAAAAAAAAAAAAAAAAAAAAATTCAAACCCAGTCCTTGAAAACCCATAATCACGAAATATTTTCCGATTATGAAAGGAGATTAATTGTTTGGGATTTTATAAAAGAGGATAGAAAAAGGGATTTGGAGATAGAACAAAGCTCGATTGTGTTTTGTGTTTTATTTCGTGTTGATTCAAATAAAATGGTGTCAATTTGTGATGTGTCTTTTATATTTTGTGTTGACTTGGGTTTGTAGCAAGGTTGTGAGGGGTGTGGTGTGACGGTGAGAAGTGAAGTGGGTGGGTTGGTGGTGCTATGCGGGAGATGCGGAGAGGGAAGGTGTTGGGCAAAAGGAGCAAGGAAATTGGAGGTGGGCCGGAGCAGCGGAGGGGAGGTACTGGGAGGCACAATGAAGAGAGGAGAAGTGGGGGAGGACTGGCTGTTCGGCGGCCAGGGGTGTTGCCACCAGTCGCAACATGGCCGACGATTTGTTTGTTTGAATTTTTATTTTTTATGTTTCTGGTTTATTTTTGGGTTAAAGCGTTTTAGAATCATAAAGATTAGGGAGGATATTAGGTGTTTTTAAGGGTTATAGGGTGAACAAGAGGGACGAGGTTAAGAACTTTGTATATTAAATTTTGATTTAGGGAGAATATTAAATTTTTATGCATAGTGTTAATTGATTATTTTGCCCTTACTTGTAACGGAGTTTTGATCATTCAACTCTTCTTTATAACAAAATTTATTAATGTATCTATGTTATAGGTACTAAAGTATCATTTTAAAACTTTATGAGTGAGAAATAGTCATTAGGCCAAACCTTGGGTGGAAAAAAGTCGTTTACTCTTTTTGGCAGGAAATAAATTTCTTTGGAAGGAATGCTTTGTGTTCTTTCTTCTGTTTTTTGCTTTTGCCTTTTGGTTTCCTAATCGACTTTACTATTGGATGGGTAAAAATTCATCCAATACATTACCAGACCTAATAACAAAATAAACTATTCAAGCCCAGTGTCCTTGTCTAATTCTGATTAGATCTACGCTTAAATTCATTTGTGTATTAATCATCCAATGATATGACCCATCTTGTAAGAAAATTCATTTTATGAGCCGACTCATTCCACAAGCTGAATGAAACTTATGTTATCATTTATTGTTCATTTCCCATTCAAGCATACGGAAGTTTCTGGTTTTGTTACACTGTTTCATTAAGTCAAATATAAAGTAACATGTGCACTCATAGTCTGCAAATGAAACTGACAATTCATAGACATTACGCTTCAAAGACAACAGTTACTTCTGCATTCAAGGTAATGCCATAATCAGCTAGTGGACGCTCATCCTCTAACACCACTTCACGGAATAACACTTCCTTTATTAGATCTTGGAATTTAACTCTAGCCATTGTCTTCATTTCAGATATTGTAGTAAATCTTGATATAGGAAGATCAATTGTATTTAATTTCATCTTTATAAACTTTGATGAAGGAGCAAAAACCATGTGGAGAGTGGAGTGCCTCTCTATATTACTGTCAGCCTCCAGCTTTTTTCCAGCATATACGAAACTCTGACGATTAATAGGAATCCATAGTTTATCAAAAAGCATGCCTTTAACATCTTTGATTGTATTAGCTAGCTGCACATCAAGTGTTATAGTTTTCCCACATCAAGTTTTAAAAAATATCTGAAATGAAGGAGGTGACACCTCTAACATGAACTGGTTCTTGATGTCATAAGAAGCCAGGGTCTCGTCATCTTCAAGCTTCCTTCCCGCATAAAATATGCAGAGATTGCTTATTGAGACACCCATTCGCCATTACACCCCCAACTAATATTTTCACTTGATGTACTGTTGAGGAAGCTTTAACTTGGAGTTTCAGGATCTCTTCGGTTGGCGTTTTAACAAGTACCTCAATACAAGAAGGCGACATTTCTAATAAGAATTCTTTTTGAATAGAAGAAGGCAGCAATGTGTCACGACCAACCTGCTCAACGACAAAAGCATCCTGCACAATGTCATGGGCAACCAGCACAACAACTTCTTATAAGCTATTAAGTAGTTTCTTCGTTAGTAAAAAAACTTCAAGGAGGTTATCTATTTCTTTATCACTAAGTAAACTTCTTTGCTAAGAAACTTTATGACTAAGAGAATTTCGTGACTAAGGAGCTTTATGGCCAAGGAAACTTCATGGCTAAGGAGACTTCATTGCTAAGAAAGTCGTCGCCACCTCATGCCATTGTAGAGCTGGGCAAGGGACCGGTCCCTTGCGGGCCCAGGCCTGGGCCCGTTTGGGACTGGTCCCAAATGGGACCAGTCACTCATGGGCCTGGGACCGGTCCCAGGCCCATGAGAAAAACCAGGACCCGGACCAGGCCTTAGGCTTGGTCGGGACTGGTCCCATGGGCCCAGGACCGGTCCTAGGACCAGTCCAATGGGCCTTGGACAATTTCATTTTCCCCCCTCAATTTTTTTTTTATATTTTGGGGGCAAAACAAAATTTTATAGGGGGTTTTTAGTATTTTTTAGGGGTAAAATTTATAAATTTTATAAATTTTTTAGACCTGGAAGATTTTTTTTTCAATAAATTTTGTAATATTTCATTTTAACCCTCGTAATTTATATCTATTTAATTAATAGGGGGTTTTATGTAATTTGACAGGAGACTACATTGAAAATATACAAATTTTTTTGGGCCCAGGCCTGGGACCGGTCCCAGGCCCGGGCCTTGGAGGAGGGCCCAGTGCAGGGCCCGGGCCCTCCTCCTAAGGCCTGGTCCCGTTTTGGGACCAGGCCTCCTAGGACCGGTCCTCCCAAGGACCGGTCCTAGGACCGGTTTTTGGAGCTGGGCTTTTGGGCCCGGTCCCAAATGCCCAGCTCTATGCCATTGTAGCCAACTCTTGCTAAGATGTAGCCACCTTATGCTTCAGCCATCTCAAAACTTGCTCACTGTCAACTAGCATACAAGTTGTAGGAAATTTAGGTATGAAGAATTCATTGTATATAGACATTTCATTTGGGAGATTTAGCCTATAAATATAGGGCATTCCACTTTGTGTAAATACATTATGTGTAGGATCCAATAATTCAAGCAATAAAGTTTATAATTTTCTCTATACTCTCTTCCTACTTATTTTCATTACTTGTAGTTCTTGAGTTTGTGTGAATTTAAGGTTGCTTTTTCATCACCAACCGTGAACAGAATTTCAACTTTGAGTTTTACTACATCTCCACTTGGTGCTTTCACAGAAAATGATATCAAGTGTTTTGGACAGAAGACCAAATTGAGAGTTGAGTCACTCTTCATATGGCGGGAGGCAAGAGTTATATCCTCGTCCTGAAATCTCCATCATAGATAAGACTGAATTGATTTGATTGAATTCCCTCCTTTTGCTGAACCAATAATTAGATGTTTTGAATTGTATCATGAGGCATTGCTTCAATCAAAATGGTTTTCCAGGTTGAAAGCATTTTCACATATAGCTTCATGACAGTGGGATTTTGGAGAAAGTTGAAGATTGGAGTCCCACTGAATACTATGATCAACCTGTCTCTGGTCATCCTGAAGCCGACCACCGGAAAAGATGTCCTCAATATCTTCAGTAATCCCTTCCTTCTCATGTAATTGAGCTCCCCGCTTACGTAACAAATCTTCCATTTCACATAACCGAGTTTCAATCCTATGTAACTCAGCTCTGAGATTGAATGGCTAATGCGAAATCTTAATAACTATAAAAAAAATAAAATAAAACATTTTGAAAAATTGAATAAGATGAAAGTAAGAACCTCTTTGTCTAGAGAATCCGATGGAGGGATTATTGGTTATGTTGGATAATGCCTCTTATTTGTTAAGAGAGTGAGATGGTTATTCAGCTACATGGCTAGTGTTTGTTACGTTAGTTATTTGCTAACTAACCTGGCTAAGATCACACAGCTGTGATAACCTCCAAATATCTTCTGATACACTTCGTCATAGGCTCACGTATAAAGAGGGTGGTCTGTACTTTCTGTTAGTAACGAAATAGAGAGAGGTGTGAGAGTTAGTCTTTCAGTATTGTAATTCTCAGATTAGTGATTGTATCAGACTTCATTATAGTGGACGATCTAGGGCCTTAAAACCCTGCCTTGGAGTAGGATTCTTCAGTTGAATCCGAACCAAGTAAATCACGTGTGCCTCTTTCTTCTTCCTGTTTTTCTCCTATCTTTGTTTTGCTATATTCTTCTTGGTGTTTCTTGATTGTGTTGAACTCTCTCTTGGAGGATTTCTGGTTATTATCCTCAACAGGTTAAACTATTAAACGCCGAGAGAAGGAACCAAGGAAATTAAAATTAGTTCATAACAAAATACTACTTTGAGCTCATAACATTGAGGAAGAGTAAATGCTTCTCTTAATTAGGATACATAGCTGAAGTAATTTATTCATATTACTGCTCCAAACCGACCTATATATTAAGTTACACTATATATTAGTTATCTATCACCTTATAATAAGGTCATGGAGAGTGAGGTCTCCCTCAATGAAGTAAAAAGCAAGACTCTTGTCATCTTCCAAAGTTCGACCACCAAACGAAATCTGTTGATGATTAGCAGGCACACCAATCTTCTCAAACACTTTGTGTTTCACATCGCTAATAGTATTGACCTATGTTACCTCCAGTGTTATAGTTTCCCCAGTCCCGAGTCCTTACGAATATCTGGTACACAGCAGGCATCATCTTCAACTGGCCATTTTTCTTGATATCGTAGTAAGCCAAGGTCTTCGTCTTAAGCTGCGTTCTTCCATCAAACAGATTTCATTCATCCCTAGAGTAATTTGTTGTGCACTCAATGATTTTGTTCACATCAATAACTCTGTGCAGACTATCAACCTCAACGATTTTGTCAAAGTCAATTAGATAAAATTATGGTTTACCCTAGTCAAACTAACGGAAGTCTAACGAAGTTAATGTTTGGGTGTATTGCATGACCAATCTCCAAGAGCTGTTGGGGAGTTTATCAGGGGAGGTACTTGCTATTCCTCTAGATGAGTGGTGATATCCTCTTTTTCATCTGATTAATTGGTTTTATTTACTTTTTTTTGTTTAGTTCGATGACTTGTATTTATTTACAAATCCAGCAATAATTAAGTTGTTGACGCATGATTTTAGACGTCAACGACTCGCACGTGCAAAGTACTAAAAGAGCCTTAGAAATTATACGTGATGGATCCATGAGATTTGAATATGGAGTTGAGATTATATATGTTGCAGAAAACATAAATAATAGGCTAACAAGAGAGGTTTTTATAGTGGCTCGGATGCTTAAACAAGCGACTCCTACATCCATTGTTATTTTATTGATCTCTGACTATTTCTATGATATTGCCCGTAAGGCATACAAAGATGAAGAAATACAATGTTTACAGAGAGAAAGAATTGAGCTCTAATCTATGCTTAGCTCTCATATGCCCAACCTCCCTTTTCGGGAAGAGAAGTGCCAATTTATACACCTTTGAGGTTGGTGTAATGAGTGTTTTGCAAGTTGTCTTGACACATGGAAGGCTCTCATCCATTCATCTTTTGAAATGAGATAGGCTTGGTATGAATATCTTTGAGGAGATATGGGCTTGGCAGCTAGTACAAAAGACATTTATTGAGCTAACATAAACGTGACTTTTTAGGCATAACAAAAGCCCCCCAGTTTTTGGAGTGCATAATCGCGCTTCAGAAACTAAGGTCTTTGATTTGAATGGCTGTTGCACTATAGGCTACAGTCTCGAACTGAAGAGCTCAAACTATTCCTGGCGTGATCGAGTGCTGAGAGCTAGGAGCTAATCGCGATCTGATAGGAGCTCGACCTGAGAGCATAACGAGCTCGACCTAAGCATAACGAGCTCTACCTCAGAGCATAACGAGCTCGACCTCAGAGCATAACGAGCTCTACCTGAGCATAACGAGCTCTACCTGAGAGCATAACGAGTTCGACCTCAGAGCATAACGAGTTCTACTTGAGAGCATAACGAGCTCGACCTCAGAACATAACGAGCTCTACCTAAGCATAACGAGCTCGACCTCAAAACATAACGAGCTCTACCTGATCATAACGAGCTCGACTTCAGAGCATAACGAGCTCTATCTGAGCATAACGAGCTCGACCTAAGCATAACGAGCTTGACCTCAGAGCATAACGAACTCGACCTCAGAGCATAACGAGCTCGACCTCAAAGCATAACGAGCTTTACCTGAGAGCAAGAGATCAACGATCTGAACACGCGATTTGAAGCTAAAGATCAGCGATATGAAGTCGAAGATCAAGACGATCTGAGTGTACGATCTGCGATCTAGCCATGTGATTGGAGAATTATGACGCGTGCGATCTGTGATCTGGCCACGCGATCGAAGAACTCTGAAGCATAAGATCTGCGATTTGGCCATGCGATTGGAGAATTATGACACGTGCGATCTGGCCACGCGATTGGAGAATTCTAATGCGTGCGATCTGGCCACGCGATTGGAGAATTCTAATGCGGGTTTGAGATCTGAGCACGCCATCAGGGAACTTGGACGAATGTTTGAGACTTGTATGGGCCACCAAACTGTTGACGCATGATTTTAGATGCCAACGACTTGCACGTGCAAAGTGCTAAGAGAGCCTTAGAAATTACACGTGATGGATCCATGAGATTTGAATATGGAGTTGAGATTATAGATGTTGCGGAAAACATAAATAATAGGCTAACAAGAGAGGTTTTTATAGTGGTTCAAATGCTTAAACAAGCGACTCTTACAGCCGTTGTTATTTTATTGATCTCTGATTATTTCTATGATATTACCCGTAAGGCATACAAAGATGAAGAAATACAGTGTTTACAAAGAGAAAGAATTGAGCTCTAATCTATGCTTAGCTCTCAAATGCCCAGCCTCCCTTTTCGGGAAGAGAAGTGCCAATTTATATACCTTTGAGGTTAGTGTAATGAGTGTTTTGCAAGTTGTCTTGACACATGGAAGGCTCTTAGAGATGGCAATGGGCCCGACATTTTCGGGTACCCGACCCGGGGCGGGCTTTACCCAAGGTTGGCGGGCTTGGGCTTGGGCCTGGGCTTGATTTTAAGGCCTGACCTCAGGTATGGGCCGGGCATGGGTATATCTTTAGGCCCGACCCATCCCCAAAAATTTTAGTATTAATTTTACTAATTTACCCTTATACTATATATTTAATTACAATATTATCGTACATATATATATCCATTTTTCCCAAACCCTAACCTCAATTTTTATCCCATATTGAAGGTTTAACATGTTAAAATTGCCTTTAAATGAATTAGATGGGTTTGGTTCAACTTATAAAAGTGGATTTCACCATAACATATTATGCACAGCTGAAAAGTTAGTATAATCAAATATTATGGAGTTTTAATTGCTCACTTATTGCTTAAATTATTTGCGGAAATAGCTTCAATTAATATTTAAAAACTATTTCTAAAATTAAAAATATAAAAAAAATTTGAAATTTATTAATATTTAAAAATAAACATTATTAAAAAAGGCGGGCTTGGGTCAGGCCTGCAGTTATAAAAAACCCGTCGGGCCGGGCTTGGGCTTTGCCTATCATACCCGTAATGGGCTCGGGCTGGGCTTGGGCCTATGTCATGAGATCGGGCTTGGGCTTGGGCCAAGGGGTACGCGATCCCGGCCCAGCCCATTGCCATCACTAAAGGCTCTCGTCCATTCATCCCTTGAAATGAGATAAGGTTGGTATGAATATCTTTGAGGAGATATGGGCTTGACAGCTAGTACAAAAAGACATTTATTGAGCTGACATAAACGTGACTTTTTAGGCATAACATTAGTAATTAACCATAATCAGACACAATCAAGTTGAATGTACGTAAGACAATTTTCATTCCTCTTTCGTGGATAATAAATTTACTAAAAATAATTGGAGAAATAAAAAGTACAAGCATCTATCTGCCAATTTACATATTCCTAGGGGTGAAACTGTGATAATTTACTATAGCGAGGACTCCTGAAAACCAATACATGATTATTTTTAGGACTGTTTAACGAATTGGGCTGCTCGCGAGCCGGCTTGACTCGGCTCGAGTCTGGCTCGTTAACGGCTCGACTCGACTATATTCGAGCCAGCTCGGCTCGATTTGTAAGAGGAACGAGCTGAGTTTGAGCCTGACTTGGCTCGGCTCATTAGGCTCGCGAGCCGCATTTGGCTCGAATTCATAGGGGCATATTAGGGGTTTTTTAAAATATGGAGGATTAAACTAAAATTTTCAAAGAAAAAGGTTTGCAAAAATGACAAAGATCCCCCTAATTTTGAAATCCCTAAAAACGCGACTCCACCACTGTTTGCTGTAAAACCAAAACGAGTAAAGAATTTCAACCAACTTTTCAGCCGCCTCCGATGTCTTTCCTCGTCGTCGTCAAACGACTCAAACCCATATGCTTCGTCGTTGTGTTGCCACAAACTTGCTGTATCTATCCCTTCAAATCTCACCGACGTTTGGACGCTTCCTGTTTTCCTTTTGTTTCATCACTGTCAAACTCATCTCACTGTCGTCGTCGCCATCGTCAAGGTTGCTGGAGGTGTCGGCTTGTAAATGTATGTGTGTGTTATATTGCTCGCAGATCTGATAGAGTTAGGGCTGTTTTAGACTTTAGATTAAAAGAAGTGACATTTCACATTTGTAAAGCTGCTATGAGTTATTTGCATGAAACAAGTTATTGGAATGTGAGCCTGCGTGAGTTTCAAGCCAAACGGGACAATATGATAGAGGCATTTTATTGACCTTCGGTTTTTTTACTACATGCATACAAACAACAAAGGGTATTTTGAATTCAAAACATGGACCTTCCTCCTTGAATGAATGTATTTATATTTTATACACTCCACTTTTTTGGCTTTTTTAGTGATCACATCACATGCGATGTTGCTTGTGAAAGTGTCACTCGTCAGTAATGAAGTCAGAAATAGAAGCAATCAGGTTCATAACATTTAATAACAAAGCATATTGCACATGCACTGCTGGAAGAATTGAATCTAATCTGGATTTAGCTTCAAGTTCATGAAAAAATCTCTCTACCTAGCTTGTATTCCATTAAGCTATAATGACTTTCATTTACTGATGTTAATTAATTTCTCAAACCTCTAGAACTGTTTTATATGTCATGACATATCTTATAATTATTATCATTGAAAAAAGCAAATAATTCAGCAAACACTAGCACTACTTTGTAACTAATTGTCCAATTTTGAAAACGCCTTCATCAAGCAGCTAAAATTCCATAAACACAACAAATTGATTAACTAATTAATTTAAAGCTCAATGTTAAACCAACAGTCCAACACAACTTTATTTTCTCTACACTAGTAAAAAAAATTGAAATCTGCTCTTAATTTTTTTTAAAAAAATGTTTTTTTACCAACTCACGAGCTGACTCGAACTCGACTCGTTAAGCTGACTCACGAGCTAGGCTCGAATTCCCCTCCTCCCTTCACGAGCCAAACCGAGCCAGGAAATCAAAGGCTCGGCTCGGCTCGGCTTGAACTCGATTTCCTCTCCCCTTTCATGAGCTGAGCTCGTTAAGCCAAAAACTCGGCTTGGCTCTAAAACAGCCCTAATTATTTTGGTTGTAATAAGAAAAAGAACTTGATACCTGTCAATTACTTCTTCAAGGTAAGCATCTTGCTCCAAACGGAGCTCATTACCTTGAACCTCAACCATTTCAATATCTTCAACTTGACGAGGAAGGGTTAGTACAGGGTGTATTTGGTTGACACAAATGTTATATATATATGTATGTATATATAATGGGAATATAGGTTCATATAGTGTGAAGAAGCTGGTTCAAGAAACGCTGAAACAGATTTCGTGGAGTTATGAAATAATCCTAGATCTCTTTCCCACACAATCAAGAAAATACACAATAGAATCAAGAACAAAAAAGACACCGAGATTTACCGTGGTTCACCTATCCAAAATTGGATAAATTATATCAATGTTGAGCTCCGGAATTAGAGGAGCTTGCCGCACTAATCAATTAAGAATAACCGTTTACAAACACACAGATCAATCAATCTCTCACTTGATTACAACCAAATCACCCCATAACTTCTAACCTAGAGAACCTCTCCCTGGAATCCCTAAATCTTGAGAGAAAAACCCCCTCATTGAATGACTAACACCCTAATCACTCAACTTCAACAAGTTACACAGATTTGATCACAAGATGTAAACCCTGGCAAATAAAATTGCTCAATGAACACAAAGAAGACTCTTTGATATGAAATTGGCGATTGGGCTTCTTAAATACCGTTGACCAGATGTTGAATAACAGCAGTTGGATCAGACTTGGATCAAAGGTCTGGATTCACTCCAGGAATCCACTAAAACGATAGGGTATTACTAAAGGCTCAGCGACACCATTTCAAGTCTTCATTTCAACACGTAGCTTTACAAACGGAGGTGATATGATAATTAGAAACACGTAGGTCATCCAGAAAAGATATATAGTGTTGCAAAAATGATTGAGTTTAGGATTAATAAAGAAAAAAGAATAGGGAAATCTCTATTGTGTATGATAATGAGAAAGCTCATGTTGAGACTGAGAGGTTATGTAATAAGTATAAAGAGGTACAATAATAGTGACAAAAGTACAAGAATCAATAACAATTTAAATAGAAGTAGTAAATTATAGACCGAATCAAGCTGAATGTGCAGACAGACAATTTCCATCCCTCTTTCTTGGATAATAACTTATAGTAAAAGTAGTTGAAGAAAAAAATGTGCAAGCATCTATCTGCTGTATAAATTATTCCTAGAGGCGAAACTGTAATTATCTACTATAGCAAGTACTACAATAAAAACCAATACATGGTTACTTTTATGTGCATAGATATCATATATTTGTAGAATAATATTACACCAACAACTGTCTCTTACAAACTTTCTCTCACAACCCTGACGTGACAGTTTGCAGTTGATCAGTTCACAAGGGATCCCACATAAGTCTCACTAATTAATTGCAAGCTGTCACGTCATGGTTATAAGAGAAAGTTTGTGAGAGAGGATTGGTGTATCATTACTCTTTTTTGTAATAAGAAATTGAACCGGCTACCTATCAATTACTACCTCGAGGTAAATATCTTGTTCCAAATGGGGTTCATTACCTTGAACCTCAACCATTTCAGTTTCTTCTTCCAGGTGTATTTCTTGATTTTGGTTTACATAGGTGATGTGTATAGTGGGAATATGGGTTTGTAGAGTGTGATGAAACTGGTTCAAGAAGTGCAGAAATAGATTCCATAGCTCCGCAAACCAAGGTGATATGGTAATTAGAAACACATAGGTCATCCAAAAACAATAGGGATGCAAAATGGTTGAGGTTAGGATTAATAGAGACAAAAGGATAGGGAGATCTCTACTGTGTGTGATAATGAGAGAGCTCACGCTGAGACTGAAAGGCAGTAAGATGGGTGTAAAGAGGAAGAGTAATAGTATCAGAAGTACATGAACTATTAACAATATAAATAGTACTGGATATTGGAGAATCTGCTTAACAACAACTTGGTCCCATTTCCCATCGTCTTCTTTGTGCAATTTGAGTAATAGAAAGAAGATGACAAGATTTAGCAGTAATGGGAAAAAGAGCCGCAAATCAATAGAAAAATTCATGGTTTTTAAATTGTAATTGGATAAATTTTTGCTTGATCTTTAGTAAGTCTGTTGCTTTGGGCTTCATTATATATACAAGTAGGAAGGGCAGGGGACAAAATGGAAGAATCAGCTAAGAAAGTTCGTGAGAAGCGGGTTGGACACACTTTATAATTAAAAGTCTCTTCTTCACTATGAGATAAGTTGATGTCTTGAGGTGGGGTCTAATTTAGAATCCTCTTGCGGCCACACTCTGTGACCAACATTCGTCCAACTTCTAATTCTAACATCGATTTAAAGTGTTAGATTTTATTAGGGAGTAAACAACTTTTTCCCAACCCAAATAATGGCTTAACGACATTTTTGATCCATAGATTTTTAAAATATCACTTTATTATCCAAATTTATCTTCCGTTTTCGATTCCAGCATCATTGTAACCCCACACTGATAATCTGAGGATTATGCTATTTTATTTAAGCTTTTAGGCCGGATTTTAGAAACTTCTTAGTCTATTTTTGCCTGAATTGATACTTAATTCCTTACATTTCGTGTTTCAGGTTAAAATGGAAATTTTGAGCAAATAAAGGCATATTTGGAGTTGTTGGACTCAGAAGCAAGCGGAGGGCAATTCTAGAATTTCAGAATTCTTCAGGAAGCTTCACCGTGGCAAATGGGCTAGTGACGCACCAGATTCAGCTCCTTTGTCGTCGCGGCGAGATTCCTTTTTCGCCGCGGCGAAGTCTGCTCACTCCAGTTTTCGTAAAACGCACAGTTTCGTTTTTAGGCTGGATTTTAAGATTTTTGGACGAGGTATAAAAGGGGGACTTAGTCTTTTTGTTTAGGGTGTTCATGGAGAGATAGACAACAGTTTTACATTTTCTTAGATTGATTTTTGAATGATTTTGGATTGAACAAAGTGGAAGATCCGAGGAAATCAGTGGATTCATCAATTTGGGGAGATTCTTTTCCTTTTCTCTTGTTTCCATTATGTTGAACTTGGAGTTTTTCGTTTCTTTTAATTGTTTTATTGATTTAGCCATGAACTAACCTATTTTGGGTTAGGGTTTTGATGTAGCTCGGATTCTAATGGGTTAGAGAGTTGATGATTATTAATTTCATATTATTTGCTTTGATTGTGTGATTATTCTGTATTTATTGTTTGTATGTGATGAACATGATGAGATTGAGAGATAATTCATGTTAAGCTTCTTGGGTAATCACTATTGTATTATTGGATGCTAGAGATAGATTCAAGAACCGATGAAATCAATCTAGGATTCTTGTACTTAACGAGCTTAGATTTATTAACTTTCATTTTGTTGGGTGCGGAAGGTTAATAGGGAAGAGTAGGACAACATAACCTGAGAAGGTATGTTGGACACTTTTAGAGAGTTCGATTTACAATAAATGAATGTGAATATGAATTTAGTTTAACCCATAGAGTCCGAATGAAGTCAAAACCCTACCCGTTTGTTTGAATTGATTTTATCTCGTTTTAAATCTTGCTTTCATAGTAAAATTTTATTTTAGTAAAATTTTGTTTTAGTTATAGTTTAAATTGCTACCTTAAATCCAAAAGAATTCGATTGCTTTAACTTGAAAACGGTAGAAAACTTAGTGCTTAGCAACAATCCTCGTGGGAACGATACTCACTCATCACTCTATTACTTGTGCGACTAGTATACTTGCTACATATTACATGTTATAGGAAACACACATCACACACCACCACCATTCTTTTCCCCGATCATCACTTACCAACCTCCCTCAAACCCTACTCCTGTCGACCATGCTAATCATCAACAATTGAGCGATTAAGGTTTATACAACCGCCTCTCCCAAGTCAAATTCTTATTAATCATAACCACCAAAATCTAACCTTCCACCACTAAAATTCTCATCAGCCTCCCCTCTTCAAAAGCCCCAATAGCATAGAATAAGTTTGCTCTATGTTCGCCACCGGAATATAAAATTGAGTAATAAAATAATATTTTAAAAGTTTTTGGGTGAAAAAGTGTTATTAAGCCATTATTTGGGTGGAAAAAAAATCTTTTTAACTCTTTTATTATGTTACTGACCCTGCTTAAAGTCAGGGTTTGCCACTTATAAAGAGTTTATGACTAATATAGCCTGATTGACACTTTCACATTTGTCACTTATCTTAAATTGTGGGCTAAAAGATGACCACTGTTTACATTTATTTATTAAATTGTTGTGGGCCGGTGGGTTAATGAGCAGATGGTATTTCTCAGTCACTGTGTTCACTTGTATAAAAGGCACCTGGTATTTCTCATTCAAGAGGAGTGCTAGCAACCATCGCGGAGCACAGTGAGGAGTCGGAATGTAGGATCCGAATGAGTGGCGGGCCCCGAAAGAATTGGACGGAGAGAGAGGAGGTGTTGGGTCCGGTTGAGTTAGAAAGAAGAAAAAAAGGGAATACAGAGAGGTTGAGACAGCGATCTGTTTTGTGAAATGTCTTTGCCTGACTGCCTTTATCTCTCTCTCTCTGTATTAGTTTTCTGTAGTCTGCTTGGCACATGGTTTTTTATATCAAATCGGAGAAAGGGTTATCTTATACTTGTACCTAAGTAACTTTGCTCCAATAACATAACAAAATCTTTCATACATTTTGTCTTTTAATTCCATTTAATTACAATTCCAATAATAATAATAATGTAATTGTCATATCAAGATAATAAATAATGATATTCTTATAATATTTAGTGGATGAATTTGAGGAAAGCGTCTCATTCAGATTAAGCACAACAGTCAATCTCATAAATTAATTAACGACTAACAATCATGCATTTCTCAATCGATTTGAGGATTCTTTTCCCACCTCTTCTAAATTTTATCATCTTCTTCCTGCTGTTCTCCAAATCCAATGTGAAAAAGTCTTGGGATGGTTCTATGCAGCTTCTTCTATTCCAGTTTTAAAGAAGTCATACATTATTTTTATCCTTTCCATTCTGCTATTACGAGTTCTACTACCACCATGTTCATCTCCATCATCAACCAAAATCAACAAGACTCAGAACCACCTCAAATTAACCTCTACCAAAACGGGCAC